ATGCGATACGTACTCGTCGATCGTATTTAACTTTGCATCGCACAACACTCGGATCTGGTCTTGTTTTTTAATTTTGTGGATTAACCGACGACTCCCGCATTTCAACAACGCATAACATGCAAACGCACCGATGGCGGGACCTTCCATCACTAGCCCGACGGGGGCCAATATAATCTCCATTAAAGCGGGGATACCTATCGCGGCACCCGATGCTTTGACTCCCTGTTCTTTATAATTTAGTGCAGTGAGTACTCGTTTGACCTTTTTATACGTAAGCGATCTCGAGTCGCGTTCTTTCAATTTTTTTTATGTCTTCGATCTTTTTGAGTATGTAGACCTTTTGGTTCGCTACGCTTTCAATTGTTTTATCTGGTAGCTCAAGATAAAGACTTTTATTCATAGGTTCTTTTAATTATACGCTTCAAAAAAATAATTTCAAACTCGATACTTCTAACTCGATCGTAATTTTACCATCCTTGATGCTAATGTTTTCTTTCTTTTCGTTTGAAAAATTCAAACTCGTTATCTTTTCGTTTGTAAGTGGTTTAACGGTTTCGCTCGGGACTAACGCGCTACACAACACGTCTGCAAGTTGCCCGGCGTTTAATTCATCACAGTGTATCCAAAGCTCCTGTAAAGGGTTTGTGTTTATTTTCCCTTTGTAAATAACGTTTGGAACGAGCCTACCATTTGGCAAATTCAATAACTTACCGACTTCTTTACCCAACCGCAATCTGAGATTTAAATCTGTCACCATAAATTGTAACTTAATTGGAGTCTCATTGAACTTTAAAACTCAAACCCGGAATGGCGTTTAAAATAAAATCAAACCAATCCACGTTGTTAAACCCGTTGTAAAGCGACACTCCCACGCTCTCCACCTTGCAAAAGGTTCAATGTTTGTTCGTTGAGGTCATTTATTTTTTGGTCAACTGAGGCACTAAATTCATCTAGATTCCCCGCCTCGTAAGCTCGAATGTATTCTCTTATTATGTCATAAAACAAGGGTAAACTGTCTACTTCTAATTCTTAGAACGGTATTGTAAGTTCAATTGATATTGTAATATCCATATTGATATTAGTCATATAAGCATGTTCTACATTCTTTTCATCATTTAATCTTATTCTTCTATCTCTTTCACTTTCTGTTTCTCTATCCCTTTCCTTCGATTTTAGTTTGCCATTCGATTTCAGTGGAGTTTGTAATGTTAAAATTATTGCTATGAAAGCTTACTTTTTTTACTTTACATTTTTACTTTTTCAACGTTTTAATCACCTTTAAATTATTGATGTAATTTTGTTATTGAAACGTCTGCTCATTTTTGCTAAAGTGAAAAGTGTGCACAACCATTATTATCTATAACTCTGTTTCAACAAGTTTTCTTGCATTTTTTCACCATGGGAATCAATTTTAGCAACATGTTTATTGTCGTTAAAAAAAAAGCAGTTCGTTTTGGCCAGGTTTCCTGATATCACTACGGCTTACAAAATACCGCGGGTCACCACACAAGAAGTCGTAGATCGTTACAATACAGACCCGATGTTGTTTTATCAAAATCAAATTAATTTTGCGGTATACTACGCTACGGCCTCGTGTGGGGTAAGCTTTGCATTGATCGTTGATCCCGACCATTACGTATCGGCTTTGCTGAACTTTCACGTCTATTACACCGTTCGAAAAATAATGTCAAAGTGCAAGTTCCCGCTACTCGGCAACGACCTATTTGACCCACATAATAACTTCTTACAACCACGCTCCTTTTACAGACACTTGCCGCGAGTTTAACGGGGATCCAAACAAAAATTTTAGACAAACCCGCGATCCTTATTCATACGGTCTCGGAACCGCTTACTATTACGACATTGCCGGTTTTTTCTAAACACGGCACGCATAATTATCTCCCCGTCCCCGGAAAAACTACGACCCAAAACCGGTTCCTAACGATTATGGACTTGAGGTTACCACGATGCGCTTTGGTTGGCAACCGGTGGGCTCGAGTCTCACGTTGAAGTAAACTGGATCAAACAAGACAACGTCAAAACGTTGTGGCAAGATTTTATTCCTCACAAAAGCAAACTAACAGACGTGGGATTTACTCATGTGAACGATTCTATTGGAACTTACGTCTGGTCTTAGTTGGGGGCTCAAGCGACCGCCGTGCGCCAGAACCAGCGTATTGGCTAAAGAAACCTTTCCTAAAGGAAAGGTTGTCGCGCACTATTTTTGCGTTACAACGATTGCGAACATTTTCTATGGTTTTGCCGTACACTGCGTTGTTACCGAGTTTTAAAAAGTCTTGATCAATGCGATGTTTAGCTTGTTTACGAAGCTCAGTATTTTTCCGATGTAGTTACGTAACCACGGTCGTTGGCGAAATCGAATCGCACGGTGTACTTTTGTCAATTTGAGGCCGAGTCGTAAATACAACTGTAATAATCAATCATGTACCACCTAAGTAATTTGACATAGATACGTTTCATTCCATTTTCACTCCATGAAAAGATGGGCTTTAGTGTGCCTTCTATTTTATCTTTCCCCATTATTCTAATCTTGCTCGCTTTATATTCGATACCCAGTTATATTCCATGGTTTGCGCGATTTTTCTCGGATTCCAAATTCATAGCACATCGTTTCAGGCATCATAATTAAAAGTTTGCATTTTTCGTCTTTGTAACGATAATATATGGATGAAAAACATTGCGTTACAAAAATATTCTTTTTTGTTACAGGTTCATCTATAACGAGATTCTTTGGATCAAAGGTCCATATACGACGTTTGGGTTTTCACGTTTTTGATTGAGTAATTCGTGGTCAACAGCTACAATAGATGTTTTGGTTGTCATCGTTTTATAACATTATTTATGAAAGTTATACTTGTCTAAGCGAATATCACTTTAGGTCTACAGAAATAACACTGTGAAATATCTTTGATGATCACAAAACACAGCTTCTTGGCAATCGTTGCATCTTTGTTTTGTCTTTCCGTGCGGACATACGGGGGAACACTCTTGGCATTTATATTTACGAATTCCATGTTTACAATTAAGACACTTGTCATGAAACGTTTTTCTCTACACGGATAGGAATACGCTATATATTCCCCTTTTTTACTTTAATTTATTTGGTTACCTACCTACCTACCCTTGGAAAGCCTTTCAGTCGACCACTGTTTTCCAAAGGTGCCCAGCAAACACAAGCAATAAACGATAACTAATAATTAAAAACATTGGATAATCGATTAATATCAACAAACAGCAAAGATTACCATTAAAATAACACTTAATTGATCAAATACTAAAACAGATTAAAATACTAGATCGGTCGGTACGTTGGCAGTAAAAGCAATATCGGCAGCCGTCAAGAAGATACACCCCCGTTAAAGGGGGGGGGTACATGTATATACGCACATGAACGTTATTTGTACACACACAAGCACTTACATATAAGTATACATGTACACATACATATACATATACCCATAGACACAAACATGCACATTCTCACATGTCCTTGTAGTCCATATGTACTGTAAATTCTTTAAAAAATCAAGTTTTTGTACTGGAGCTTGAAACTTGCTAAAGTGAGAGGCAAGGGGTGTTTAAGTGTCGTAGGGAGATCGTTGAATAAACTAACCCCACGAGAGGCAAATTTACGTTTTCCTGAATTAGATCTTGATTCCGGAGGCACCAGGTTACCTTGCAAGACAGATCTGGTATAGCATGAATGAGAGTCAGAAACTAGTTGAAAACAATTGCAGAGTTGATAACGCAATCTAGATGTTAAACCTTTATAGACTAAGGAAGTCAGGTGAAAAGCTCTTCTTTCGTTTAGGGGTTGCCATCCAAGAGTGCCTGTTGTAGATCTTCGATGGCAATGTTGTTAATGGTAATCTGTAAAGTTTCCTGGGTACGACGTAATTTGGCCTGAGTCCAAAACAGCATACTTTTGGTTTGGTTGATATTAAGAGTTAGTCTAAAGCCATGTAAAAATTCCCTCATGACACTGTTGAGTTCTCTATAAATAATATCGATAGATTTAGCGGGAGTAAAAATTGCTGTGTCGTCAGCATAAACGAACATATTTGTATCATGTCGTAAACATGAGAAAGGTCGTTTATGTACAATGTAAAAAGGAGCGGTCCCAATATAGACCCCTGAGGAACTCCTAAGTCATCCCAGTTAGTGAAGAGCAGTTATCACTTATTTTGGTAACCTGTTGACGTTCATGCAAGTAGGATGAGAACCAGTCAAGCTCTAGTCATGCACTCTATTATTTTTAAGTTTACCGAGAAGACGTTCATGATGAACAGTATCGAACGCTTTCTTTAGATCCAGAAAAAAAACTGCCCCAGTAAAGTACCCCGAGTTCATGTTATCCAATAAATAATCAGAAACGTTTAGGAGACATGTCTGGATGGAGTGCATCGGTCTAAAGCCCGACTGATCATCAGTTAAAATATTATGTTTTCCATATAACCTAGCAACTGTTTGTGAACAAGTTTCTCCACAATTTTCATACAAGTAGGAATACTTGAAATCGGCCTATAATTATTAACATTCTGACGGTCACCTGTCTTAAATACAGGAGATATTCTACTCTTTTTCCATGCCAGGGGCACAGAACCAGTGGAGAGGCTTAAGTTCATGATTTGGGTCAATGGTATTGTAACCTGGAAAAAAGACACACAATGGGGGAACTCGCGAAAACCAACATGAACCAGGGATCAAAAGGAAGAGTCGCAGGATATTCTCAAAAAGAAATGACAAAGGAAGATCAAATTTGATTTCAACAAGCAAAGAACAGCAAAAAAAAATATTTATTCCAATGTGAACAGAGTAAAAATCCAAAACAAACCTCTTACTCAGGACCAGTGATTTTAGCTGTGTTTCTTAAATGTATAGACCAGGAAATATACTCAACTCGTAATCAATTAACTTAAACCAACAATACTGCTTAAACCAAGACAAACGTCAACCAGTACCAACACAGACTTAAATTATTAACCAACACAGCTCTTCCTCATGCCCAGCAGGTGACACAGCTCCTTTATGACTGCCGACTCAAAACTCTTTCCTTGGTCCGAGTGGAGTCGCTCAGGGATGCCGTAATTGGCGATGTACATGTACCTCTCCCATAGGACGTGCGCTACAGTTGTTGCCTTCTCATCACGAGTCGGGTACGAATGTGCGTATCTGGTGTAGTGATCAGTGACCACAAGTACATGCTCAAAGCCTCCTCTTGACCTCTCCAAGCTTAGGAAGTCTATGCAGACAAGTTCCAAGGGCCGTGTTGTGTTGATACTCTGCAGACTTGCATGCCTTTTCGTGTCTGACGTTTTTCTCAGGGCGCATCTTTTACACTTGTCGATGTACGACTTCACATCAGAGTACATACTTGGCCAGAAGTACCTATCCTGGACATGCTGATAAACCTTCTCGAAGCCAAGATGTCCCATCAGGTCGTGAACATGCTGAAGGACAGGCCTCTTCATCTCCTTGGGGAGCACTATTAAGGTTGGTGTCTCACCTCTGTCTTCCTGGTCCTTCTCGTAGACCAAGACACCTTGCCTTACAGCCAAGAAGTCTCATGCTCGAAGTAGGGTCTTAACTTCTTTTGTTTCCCGCGCCATTCTTCTTCGACTTGGCCTCCCTGGCTGGGCTGACTTCAACTCCACAACACGCCGAGTTGTCGGGTCCTCTTGCTGTGCCTCAAGCAGACGAAGGCCTCCTGGTAGATCAACATATGTGCCCACCTTGGCTCCTTCTGAAGAAGACTTGGCACCTACTTCATTGCTATCCCTGTCTAAGGCTGCATCGGAAGAAGACTTCATGGGAGATGGGTGATCAGTAGTGTCACTGCTGTCTGATGTTTGCCCTATGCTTGACGGTGGTGGTGTGCTACTCCTCGTACCAGTTGTGAGCTGATGGACATGCCTGACAGCCTTATCTTCAAGGTTCGCCCTCGGCTGCTGTTCCTGCCCCTCGATGGAAGCCATGCCATCTTCTCCCTGACTACCCGCATCTGTTTTGGCTGCTGATGTTTTTGCATCCCTTGTTTCCTGTCTTCCATTTTGACCTCTGCTACCCTCTGTTTCGTCCAGGATCCTCACCACATCAGACCTTGGAATCCGGGACAGAGAGTCTGCATTGGCATTAGACTTGCCTGGCCGGTAGATGATATCCATATTGAAAACGGCAAGATCACTAACCCAACGTTGACCGGTAGCATCAAGCTTCGCCTTGTTCAAGACATACGTGAGTGGGTTGTTGTCAGTCACCGCGGTCAGTCAGTTGCCGTACAGGTGCTCTCTGAACTTAGTCGTTACCGCTCAGTGTAGTGCCTTGAACTCTAGTTTGTGAGCGGGGTACTTTGTCTCTGCTTCTGTTAAGGTGCGACTTGCGTATGCGATGACCCTTTCTTTGCCGTATCGTTCTTGAGTCAGGACAGCTCCCAGGCCATCAAGGGATGCATCTGTCTGCACGGTGAATGGTACGCTATAATCTGCAAAAGCTAGTATTGGTGCTGAGGTCAACTTGGAAACCAGGGTGGTGAACGCTTTTTGGCACTCATTGCTCCATTTGAAGGGGGGGTCTCTCGAGCCTCGCTTGCCTCCAATCAATGCGAAGAGAGGAGCAGCAGTTTTCGCATACCCTTGAACGAACCTCCGGTAGTAGCCGGTGAGCCCAAGGAAGCTGCGGACATCCTTCTTGCTTTGTGGAACTGGCCAGCTCTTCACTGCAGCAACCTTTGCCTGATCAGTGGCGATTCCCTCTGCAGAAACTACATGGCCAAGGTACTGCACTTCTCTCTTAAAAAGCTGGCATTTTGACGGCTTCAGTTTCAGCCCGTGTTCCCGTAGCCTGGCTAGGACTCTCCCAAGGCGGTCTACGTGCTCCTCTACAGTGCTACTGAAGACGATGATGTCGTTGAGGTAAATTAACACACTCTCAAACGCCATGTCGCCAAACACCACCGACATCGGCCTTTGGAACGTGGCCGGTGCATTCACGAGGCCAAATGGCATCCTCGTAAATTCAAACAAGCCCATCGGGGACGTGAAGGCCGTCTTCGGTTGATCCTTAGATGCCATCTTCACTTGGTGGTAGCCTGAGGTCAGATCAAGGCAGGAGAAGTACTTGGCCTTCCCAAACGCATCCAAAGCTTCGTCTATTCTTGGGAGCGGAAACGCATCTCTCGTTGTGAACATCTACTGTGATGACCCCGAAGTGTTGAACTGGCTGTCCGCCAGCTCCCTTGATGGACACCTCTGTTGGTCGTGGCTTCGGCTGCTAAGTACCGGATGCTGCTTGATAAATTCACAGGTAATTGTGGTCACCTGGGACCAAGTGTCCAGCAGTGCTGTACAGTGGACTCCAGAAACCTTGACTTCAACTCGGTTAATTGGTCCAGCCAATGGTAACTGTGCGGATTCATGGTCATTTGTATAGAGAGTTGGGGAGGGGCGTTTGAACTCAGAACCCGCGGATAGCCCTGCATCCGTGGGTTGTTCCCGTTTAACGACCCACTGTGGTGAACTGGTGTTGAGGCTGCCTGTCGAGGAATGAATGACTTCATCTGCGGAGCTTGCTGGTGTGCTTGGCGCTGATTCTCTGGACAGCTCCTTGCCAGGTGCTGCTTGCTTCCACACGTGTAGCAGCCTGAGAATTGGGGTCGCTGCTGCGGCTGGCCAGACTGGTGGTACCGCTGGTGCGCTTGAAGTGCAAAGACAGCCTCTTCCAGCTGCGTTAGACGATGGTTCAGCTGGCTCTGATCCTTCTGCACTTGTTGAAGGGTCTCCCTCTGCTCTAGACACATAGCCTGCATCTCCTCCAGTTGTTCGGTGATAAGATCTTGCAGATCAGTCCCACCTTGCATCTTCGACTTGCTCTTTGGTCCTTGCTGCAAAGGGCTGCTGGCTGCCGTGGTTGGTTTTATAGGGTCTTTGGTGGCCACCTCACTCATGGTATAGAAGTGATGATCATCGTCACCCCTCATCCTTCGTCTCGTCTGTTCGTCGCTGTGGTGTTTCTCCTCTGCTATAACACGCAGCTCAGCTCTGAGGTCTCTATAGCTCATTCGCCTTGGCTGCATCGGGGCAAGTCTCTGCTTCGTCCTACCATCCCGCAGACCGGCCATGAATTGAGTGGTTAAGAGGACTTCTCTGCTGTCCCCAAACAGGCTGCGGCGACCCTGCCGTCGGCCGCGCTCCTCAATCCTTCGCAGGAGAGTCTCTAGCGCCACGGCAAACTCACAGGCTGTCCCGCCTGTCTTCTGTTCTCTTGAATAAAACCTCGTCATAGGCGACGTGACAAAGCCCTCTTCCCCAAACTCTTCCAGCAGTTCCTGGAAGGCCTCCTCTGTCGTCACTCCTGCTAGTGACCTGCTCTCCAGGTTTAGGACGACGTCACGAGCTCGTCCGCTTGTGTAGCGCAAAATCTCCTGAAACTTGACGCCATCTGTGGCCAGACCCTTGGCTCCAAGCATATATGTCATATCCCGAACCCAGTCCTCCACTCTGATATTTTTGTCTCTGCCAGAGAAGGTTGACACCCCCTTCAGCTGGTGGGTAGTGATGGTCCTCGGATTGACGGAAGGAGCGGCTGGGATGCTGGTGGCTTGGTTCGGGATGGGGTCGAATTCATGGATATCAGGTAACTGCTTTAGAGTTGGTGGTGCCAGCATGTCTGGGGGACACGGCGGCGTCCCTATGACTCCTGTAGCTGGCTGCAGTGGTTGTGGTGTCAACCCGTGAAGATTGCCAAAGTTTGTAGGCGAGAACATGGGTGAACTTGGCACCGCCATCATGCCAAAACAGTGCTTCTATCACCAGAGCTGTGTTGGTTAATGACCGAATAACTTAGACCAATTACGACCACCTTTGACCACCCTGAGAATATCAAGCTAAGTCCTACAAAAGACAGTAATTCCAACCTGGACTCTCCACCAAAAATTTTAAAAAAAGTAACCTGGAAAAAAGACACACAATGGGGGAACTCGCGAAAACCAACATGAACCAGGGATCAAAAGGAAGAGTCCAGGATATTCTCAAAAAGAAATGACAAAGGAAGATCAAATTTGATTTCAACAAGCAAAGAACAACCAAAAAAATATTTATTCCAATGTGAACAGAGTAAAAATCCAAAACAAACCTCTTACTCAGGACCAGTGATTTTAGCTGTGTTTCTTAAATGTATAGACCAGGAAATATACTCAACTCGTAATCAATTAACTTAAACCAACAATACTGCTTAAACCAAGACAAACGTCAACCAGTACCAACACAGACTTAAATTATTAACCAACACAGACTTAAATTATTACCCAACACCGACTTACATTATTGACCAACACAGCACTAGTAAATAGTTGCAAAATTAAAGCAATCAAGCAAGAAACCAACTTCACAGCAGACCAAAGCTGAAGGCAGAAGTTGCTTAGTAAAAAGAGAGAGAGCGGTTAATG